AATTTCTTGTACTTAACGAAATCGGGAAAATACTGCTGCAGCTTTTCTTCTCTGACTGTACGAAGTGCTAAATAACTGCCCTGCAAAAGTGTTACGCTTCTCACAAGGACTGACTGCCGGTGGCATCATTTATGGCCACCTAAAAGGGGGAAAAAAAAAAAAAAAACGGCGGCCGAGTGCGTCGCCTCTGTAATAGGTGGCTACTCATTCCAAGTCGAATCGAAGGATCAAGTGGTATTAATGATAAAGAAACTCATATTTGCAGCAAGAAGTGCGCGCAACCACGCTACTTCATTCATGGTAAGTTTACATCTAAAGACGGACCGAGGTTGACATTCAAGCATGCGCATATTACATTTAAGTTTAGCACATATAACCCTACGAGCACAGCGGAAGCGGACTCCCTGCTTTGTGGGAAGCAACACAGCATTCTTACAGCTGCATGCAGCTGCAACATTTCTGTAACGATTGCGGGCAAACGCGAGAATCACAAGTGCCTCACTTCAGAGTTTTAACTTTTCTTTGCGGCAACGCTCCTAATATTTACTGTGCAAAACATCTACAAGGATCGCACGTTTGCACATTCAATCGCCATCTAGCCGCACATGGGTGAAAATCATGAATGACTGGTTCAGTTCCACAGCTTCTACAGAGAGATAAATCGTGATTAAAAGAATGCAATCAGCCAAACCTGTCATTTTACGCCCTTGAACATGCTGCGAGGTCTTGCGTACCATGATCTAAACGGCAATTTCATGTTTCAGTAACATTGCCTGTGTCCAGTTTTTCTTTTTTGTAGTTTCATTCATAAGCTGTGTGATATATCACGGCAGCTTTTCGAAGACGAATCAGATTTCGAAGCTGACCACGTTTTCGCCTGTAGATCAAAACAACAATAAAAGGAAGTGACAGTGGCAATGGGTCCACAGACGTAACCAATAAGCAAACAACCTTGTGAGTAGAAGTCTCACACAGCAGAGCGTTGGCAGATTTTTTTTTTTTTTTTTTCGGAGGGGGTACCATGTTTATCAGAACTCGGGGGACAGGGCAGGCAAGTGTGGACGACCGTTATTTCGTGCGCTATATACTATGAAAAAATTGGGAAGGGGGGGGGGGGGGGGGCACGATACTTGGTATGCCACCCCCTGGCTGTGCCACTGGCGGATGGAATACGCGCGGTCGGGTACACACATGGGGTCGGACGCCCGAGGAAAAGAATAGTAGTGGGGCAGACTACAGTAAATGTTACCGTGGCGAGAAAAATAAGCTGTAGCAAAAATTAGAGCGAAACATGTATGGCCTAAGAAAGAAGGTTTCGTTGAACATGCTGGCAAACACGCAGAAGCGACTGGCCACGAAATAGGCCGGAATAAAGTAAAAATGACGAAAACAAGGAGAAAGGAACTGCACTTCTGGGCAATATCTTGACTCTCTGACAATTCAGAGTCCCATTTTAAAATATGCATAATCGAACTGTTGGCACATTAATTTTTAACTGTGAACGAAGCTCCTGTGCAGAAATTGAGACATTCTGCTTTTATGCGAAAATTCATGATCTGAGCTCTTTTTAACTCCGCCGCGCACTCTCTATTTCGGAAGCCATGTCGTAAGCTGCACAGTTAACCTATTGGCTCGAAATAATGACCATAACAATGAAGAAAGAGAGGTGACAGTGGCACTGTAAACGGCTGTGCCAGTGACATAGCGTACCTAGCACACTGTGGCACGTCGCCGGTAACATTTACTGCAACTTTCCACATTGCGTAGTCTGCAGAAGTCCGCACAGCAATGCAACGCTGTCAAAAAATGAGAACACCAAGAAAACACCAAACTGCCAGCTTTCCTTCGACATAGCGAGGCGAGATCACATGATCCAACCCTGCACGTCACAGCGATTGCAGCGCTCTCCGCCTCCAGTGGTGGGCCTCGTGCCCAATACCCGTGCCAAACACCATCGCCGTCACCTCGTGCCCAGCACAATAAGTGCTGTAGCGGCCAAATTGTGCCATCGACTGCGTCACTTCTGCTGACATGCCAAACATGACATCATACAGACAGTGTTGCCAATAATTCTAGCGAATGAGGTGAGCTTTTCCGAGTCAACCTTCAAAATTAATTTGCAAGCAATCAGCACATCCCTCAAGCCCGTAATTTGACATAAATGACGGAAATATGCAAGGGAACGTACACAGAGAATTTCATTGAGATCTATTGACCTCGAAAAATCGCCGGAGTTTGCCTTTAATGGGGAGTATCTATACCCTTGTTATACTGTGCCACACGGGCAGAGAAAATGGCATTTACTTTTTAATGCCTTCAGATTGAATGTCATTCACGTGGTGCCACATGGATGAACAAAATGGCATTTGTTCCAAGTGCCATTCATCACCTAGTGCCATCGCCAGAACTCATTCGACTGAAAAATGCATACTCTCGACGGCAAAGCTGACTGTAATTGTATAAAACGACGTTTGATTAGACTGGAAGGAAACTTTTCACGTATTTTATTTACACTAATCACTTAAACAAGTACTCAAAAACTTATATTCAGCTGGTAGACACTGTAAAATAAATGCGATAGGTGCCATTTTCTTTTTACGCTGCAGATGTGGCTTGCTTTGGCTTAAGCTGCTACATGGTCGGTTGCAACGTCGTGAACCAAAGTCGATGAACGAAATCCAACTGCACTGTAATATGCTTATTTATACATTTATTTATTAACTGATGTGTATGAAGCCTGTAAACGCTTGTTTATTTCTTAGCTGCTACCCACCCAATGCTCACGAGGAAGGTGCTGCGATCGACATCATCAAGTCAAATGTCCATTCACTTTGGACGTGTAGCAGCGCTGTCGAAAAAAATGTAATTCGGGAACTGAAGGCCTTCGCTAACGAATGTCATTTTCTATGCCCGTGTGGCACGAGTATTACACAGGCAGCTTAAACCGCGGTTCAATAACCGTGCTTACGTTAACCGCAGTTTGCTGATGTTACACGGCACACGAAACCCCGGTTACGTCGCTAACCGCAGTTTTAGAAAACCGAGCTTGGCAACCCCGGTTAGGCAGATAACCGAGAAAATGACAGTGCCCACCCTCGATGAGTGCACTCAGAGAGCGCGCGTGGCGTTTTTCTGTCGTGACAGGCGCAGTATCTCTCTAGCAGACATAGTAGCTCTCTAGTAGCTGTGCAACATCGGCGAACCGTGGTTGGTTGTAACCGCGCTTAGCTTACCTGTGTAAAATGGGTATTAGTAACCTGCAATTCGCTGATGACATAGTCTTGATGAGTAACCCATGGGACGAATTACAGCTCATGATTACAGAAATGGATAAGGAAAGCAGAACAGTATGTCTGAAAATAAATATGCACAAAACTAAAGTAATGTGCAACAGTCTCGACAGAAAACAGCACTTTGCGATTGGTGGAGAGACACTGGAAGTTGTAAAGGATTATGTATACTTCGAATAGGTAGTAAGCGCGGAGCCGAACCACGAGACTGAAATAACTAGAAGAATGGGATGGATCTTATTCGGCAACATTCTTAAATCATAAATGGTAATCTGCCACCAACCCTCAAGAGGAAAGTATATAACAGCTGCATCTTGCCGATACTTATCCACGGAGCAGAAACCTGGAGGCTTACAAAGAGGGTTCAGCGTAAATTGAAGACGACGTAACAAACGATGGAAAGGAAAATGATAGGCGTAAGCTTGACAGACAAGAAGAGAGCAGAGTGATTCAGGGAACAAACCAGGATTAAGGATATCATAGCTGAAATCAAGAAAAAGAATTGACATAGGCCAGGCACGTAGCACATAGGCAGCATAACCGCTGGTCATTAAGGGTAACCGACTGATTTACCAGAGAAGGCAAACCCAGAAAGTTAGGTGGGCCGACAAGATTAAAAAGTTTGCAGGTATAACGTGGAAACGAAAAGTACAAAACCGAGTTGATTAGCTGATCGTGGGATCTGCAGTGGTCGTAGTCAGGCTGATTATGATGATGATGAAATATTAGACCAAAATAAGTAGTACAAGTTGAGAAAAAAGCACTTTACTGGTAGGCTGTCGGGAAAAGCTATGTGAAAATTGGGGTTTAGAAAATGCGAATTCGCAGCTTTCCCATGGCACGGTGCCACCATATTGGCATCATCGTAAAGAGGACAGATTGGAGCTCAAGCCACAAAGCTGCATTTCTCTAGTGAAAAATAAAGCCAGCTTCCTTCAGAGTTCCGTTTTGTTAGCTTCTAGTTCCAGTTTTTTTTTTTCTTGTGCTTCATTTCGTCAGCTTTCATGTTATGAGCAGTGGCTGTCAGTCATCCCTGTACCATTTCGCAACAAATTGAGACATAGCCATTATGTATTCTGCACTTGGATTCTGAGACATTAGTGAGTGCCGTAAAGCTGGCGTTTTGTAAAAGTTGTAAGACAATACGCCCACGAAATTTCAAGAAGTTTTTTTGTATGCTTACTTCAATATTAAAAAATAACCCAATAGCATTACAGCACAGAATGGGCCCTTGTGAATGTCCTTATGTAAAAATTTTGACAAAATTGTTTAATCAATTTTGGAATGACAACGAAAATCTATCAAGTGCTGTAACTCAAGAGCTACATTAGATAGCTCAACCAATTTCAGTTATGATATCAGCAAAGAACGTCTGCATGCAAAGGTTCATCACTTATCTTCATAAATAGCAATGATAGTTTTAATCTCCACATCCACCCTGAAGAGTTAATATGTATCCACAACTGCAAATAATTGATTCACTGAAATGTTTAAATAAAAGCAACATATGTACTTGTGCTTTTCATTAGATTTACACCTTAACCTTCAGTGGCGCCATGCACTTTTTGTGAGAAATGTGAGAAACTCATTCATTGGCTGCTCCAAATCGCCATGTAGCAGCGAAACTCTATAGAGTCGAGAGTTGTGGCATTTTGAAGGCCCATGAGATGCACATATCAGTGAAAAGTTTCCTCAGAAGGCAGCACTCACGGTATTTCTCGGAAGTTGACCTCATTGGTCTCATTCTCTGCAAACTGGCCTGGGCCCGACAGCATAGCCTTGATGGTGCCCGAAGTAAGCGCATGCATACGCTTGATGATGAACTCGTGGCCATCAGATGAGATTAGCTTGACGTACATGGCATCGGGCCCCTCACAGCTCCCATACACCGTGCCCTCTTCCATGGGCTTGTCTTCAGACATGATGGCGGCACCCTGCGTACGTACACGTAATTAAAAACATGTCAAATACATTATCTTGCCACTGTGTGCCAAAGCATAGTTGTTGCAGGTCAGTTTTCTTCGTCTCGGTGGCTCCTGAATAACTACCGACACAAAAAATCTTGTACCTTGCATATCTTAGTGCAAGATACAAGATGTGCAAACAAATGAAACTGTGCACCCAATCTGGGTTTCTCTCATCGAACAATGCGGATAGCTTTGGTACGAGCACAAGAGCATCCACGTTGTCTTTATGCTTTCTCTCTCAGTTGCTTACATTCTACGTGACTGCGCACGCTTTATGCTTGCCATCCAGGTCATCTAACGGTTCGCGCTGAACATTTTCGTACACTCGCACTGGTATTCAATAACCTTCGTCGGTACTCGAAAGAAGCTGCAACTAGTGGGCTGCTTCTTTCTTCCGCAAATGTCGCTACGATTGGAGCAGCCTACAATTGCGCATATAACCATCGCGGAGGATGAAACTCGTAGGTCCAACGAGACTCCCCTGAACAAGGCTTGACCGCGGTTCATAAAAACGGCCGACTCGCCCCAAGCAGTGACGTCGAGCGACGTAGGTGCAAGCACGCATTCTCTAAAGAAAAAAAAAAAGAGAAGAAGAAACGTCCGTACCGACGAGGTTGGCGTATGGCAGCTGTACAGTGGCAACAACACAGAGCTTTGCGTACATTTTAGTCTTTAAAACAAAGGTCCCAGTGAAGTCAGAAGAGAGGGTACAAAATAAAATCAGAAGCTGCCAATTCCACTGCACACAAGAGTCTACCGGACGGTTCACTTCTTTTAATATCATCCCCCTCCTGCCGATGACGACACAACGCAACCCCCCCCCCCTTCCCCCAATCACCGAAATAAGGCGCAACAACGAGCGCCCACTTTAGATGCGCTTAACCGCGCGTTACGAGTGCACTCTGCTGCGCAACCCCATGACAAGCGTCACCGTAGAAAGCAATGTGTACTTATAGTCGGGTCACTCCCGCATGACGCTAAATGTTTTGTTAACCCAATCAGACCATAACAGCGCAAAAAGACTACATTGTTTACCCTGCCAAGACGAAGCGCATCGGCCCCACGCGCGGTTTATAGGTAGCTACTTTTTCGTGAAAACGAGATTAATCACACAGACACTATTCGGTACAACAGTCCATTTTCAAACCTTGTAAATCATGTACTACGGATAGAGCTACTTTGAGCAGAAAGACAAAATCGATCGGCGAACACAACAGAATCGCTCTGGAGCTAGACCTACAGCACGGTCATGAGCGTCACTGGAAAGGCGTAGCAAAAAAAAAGCATATAAAAAGCTCAACCGATGTTTACCGGTGCGACCAGCCATTAATAAACTGTCATTTTGGCAACTATGTTAACTATACGAAAAAACGAAGACGTAACTCCGATACTTACGCAGACAGCAGTCGTCCAAAGTGCCAGGCCAGAAGCTTGGTGTGGTATCCCCTTTGCTAGCAGTTAGACATGGCCGTTGCTGCTGTACTTCACATTTCAGGGTAGATGGCGCTCAAAACACGTTCGATATTCGAGACACGTTCTTTTTTCTCAAACAAGGAAAACTCCAAATTGAACAGGCACTGCACGCATTGATGTACGCAGATGGTATAGTTACAGTGTCTAGAAATATACTGTATAGTACTAATGGCCGACAACAAAGAAGATTTGCAGAGATTGATGGGCATCTGCGGTAATGAAGGAGATAGGTTAGATTTCAGATTCTGTAAGGAAAAATCAGCAGTCATGATTTTTAATAATAATGAAGGTAGTGAGCTTACGATACAAGAGGTGGCACTAGAAATAACAGATAAATACAAATACCTGGACGTACCTACAGGAGCACGAAATATACATGACGACAAAAGGTAACAGGAATGCAGCAGTGATGAAAAATAGGGCACTGTGCAATTACAATAGGTATGATGTTGCGAGAGGAATATGGAAAGGGGTCACTGTTCCTGGTCTGACGTTCAGCAATGCGTTCTTGTGCATGAGATCAGAAGTTCAAGCAAAATTAGAAATTAAGCAACGTGGAATATGAAGGCTTGCCTTGGGAGCTCACGGGAATACATCAAATCAGGGAGTACAGGGTGATATGGGATGGACACCATTTGAGAACAGGGAAGCTAGCAGCAAGATAAAATTTGAGAAGCGATTCAGAGAAATGGGGGAGGAGCGTTGGGCTAGGAAGGTTTTCAGCTACTTGTACATGAAGAATGTCGATACAAAATGGAGGAAGCGAACTAGAAAATTGACTGGTAAATACTTGGAAAAGAGCAGGGGGCCAAACCAAAAAGAATTATCGGTTAAGAAGAAGGTGAAGGAAGCTGAGATCGACACGTGGAGAATTGGCATGATTAAGAAGTCCGCACTAGAGATCTATCGAACTTTTAAGCAAGAAATTGCCAAGGAAAGGATCTATCATAATACTCGGAGTAGTTCTCTACTGTTTGAGGCCAGGACGAAAGTATTGCGAACCAAAACATATCGGGCCAAATACGAAGCCGTAGACACGGTATGCAGTGCGTGTGGAGAGGAAGAAGAAACTGCCGAACACTTGATAATGTTCTGTAAAGGGCTTCAATCTATTGTTCAGGATGATGGCACCGAGTTTTTCAAAGCACTGAGGTTTAGGGACAGGGAGGGCAAAATAGACGTTAAGCGGGTAGAATTAACTAGAAGGAGGTTATCTGATTGGTGGCTAAAGTCAAGGCACGAGTAAAAATTAAGCCCTTCACTGCAAAGTACCAGTCCTCAACTTCACTATTTTAAGAAAAAAAAGGATAAAAATTGTGATTAGTTCACTAAGTATTACGGCTAGGTGGCGTTAGCCACCGCCTAATATATATATATATATAAATATATATATATATATATATATATATATAGGCAGGCATGGTGGTTGAGTGCAAGGAGATTTAGTATAACCTCCTTGGTTGAGTGGCCGTAGCGTTGCATATAGTCCAGTAGATCCTCCGTGAGCGGTCACAACGTGGTTTATTTCGACGTTTCGGCCTAGAGTCTGGCCTTCATCCTGATGAAGACGTCGAAATAAACCACGTTGTGACCGCTCACGGAGGATCTACTGAACTAGATATATATATATGCTTTGATTGCTGCAAGTGTACTCGGATTTTCATTTATGCCTCTATCGAGGGGTGTTAAATCGATGTATGAGGTATGACTCGCGTTGTTCACGTTCCCGGTTCGATTTAAATCCTGTTTCTAAAAGTCTGACTGACAATTTGTCGAATGAGGGGCCAGGGAGGTTAAGGTGTTTTGATAGAGGTAGATTCGGGGCTGATTTTGCGTTGGCTCTGTGATTATTGAAACGAATCCTAAAGGGCGTTTCCGTTTCTCCGATGTGTGCACACACACACACACATATATACATGTATATATATATATATATATATATATATATATATATATATATATATATATATATATATATATATATATATATATATATATATATGTGTGTGTGTGTGTGTGTGTGTGTGTGTGTGTGTTTGTGTTTACCGTGTACATATACTGCACTACTGCCTGCTTACACTTCCGACACTTCATAAAAGAACTACACTTATAATACAAAAGATCGTCACAAATTTGCTGGCTGCAATGATGTTACGCCAACAGATTATTATTAAGTAGCACATTTTAAGCTGTCAATACAAAATGGAAACTGGAACTGGTTACAGTGAATTTACACAGATTAACAGACGAGCTATATATATATATATATATATATATATATATATATATATATATATATATATATATATATATATATATATATATATATGTCGTATGAAGTCTTGGTAGTCTTGGCTGCGACAGCGTTTATTTGAGGAAAGACCTCGCAAAACGAATGGGCAGAGCCAGCACACAGACGATGACGATGATGATGAACCAGAGTGGCAATGAGGGCAAAGAGACAAGCGGATGATGGTGATTGTGATTATGCAGGGATGAGGACGACGTAAGTTACAAATGCCCACACTAATTCCCCCCCACTTGAAAGCGGACACCCTGGCCGCCGTAAGTCAAAGTGATGGGGAACGTCGCGTGAAAGGTTTCATGCGACAAACGTGTACAATCTCTGTGCTGCGGTAGCGGCGGTCTGTTGGGGCGACGAGTGGTGTCACGCGATAATTAACCGGCGAAGTCTGTTCTAAAACAATGTACGGCCCGATGAAGCGTGGTTGGAATTTGTCACAGAGACCAGGAGTGCGAATAGGTGTCAAAAGCAGCCCCTCGTCACCAGGTTGGAAAGACACAACGCGGTGGGATTCGTCATAGATGATCTTCCGCTCGTGCTGTCTCGCTTCAGTATTGATGCGAGCCTGATGGCGAGACTGGGCCAGGCGGGAAATGTATTTTTCGCTAGAAGACTGACATGAATTCCCATGGCTGCTAAAGAAGGAGACGTCGAGAAAGGTAGTCGGGGTGCGTCCGTACACGAGGTAAAACGGTGAGTAGCAAGTTGTTCGCTAAACGGCGGTGTTGTAAGCGAATGTCAGGAATGGTAAAAGAGTGTCCCAGTTTTTGTGGTCGGGTTGGACGTAAACGGCTATCATGTCTGCAAGGGTTCGGTGAAATCTTTCTGTCAGACCATTTGTCTGAGGGTGGTAGCTTGAAGCTGTCTTGTGAGTAGTTCCAGATGCGCGCAGTACTTCATTTACAACTTGTGACAGGAACACTTTGCCGCGGTCACTAAGCAGTACACGAGGAGCCCCATGACGCAGTATTATTGCGTGAAGAATAAAGTCTGCAACTTCCACAGCTGAGCCTGTAATAACAGAGGAAGTCTCAGCGTAGCCAGCAGATGTGACGGGGAGAGGCCCGTAAAGGTCAACACCTACAACCTAGAACGGCATCGAAGGGCACGGAAGTGGCTGTAGAAGGTCCAGCAGGTGCCGACGTGGGGAGTTTACGACGCTGGCATGGGTAGCAGGAACCGACGTACCGAGCTACACTAGAAGAAAGGCCAGGCCAGTAATAACGACATCGAATGCGGTCAAGAGTTTTTTTAAAACCAAGATGACCAGCAGTCAAGTCGTCGTGGAAGGCTTCGAGCACCTGAAGTCGAAGAGAGCGTGGCAGTACAAGAACCCAGCGCTGACCGTCAGGGTGGTAGACGTGGCGGTAGAGAACCCCATTGTCCAGCTTAAAGTGCAGGAGTTGACGACGGAGTCGCGCGTTTGGTGGATGAGAAACTCCCGAAAGGTGGTCCATGATGCGTCTGCAGTATGAATCGAACCGCTGGCGAGAGATAAATGTTGGCTCGTCGTCCGAAAAGGGTTGCGTTATTGATGCGAGCGTATGAACTTTGGTAGATGTGGCGGTTGAGTTCTCACCAACGCTCATATGGGTAGTTGGAAGCGGGCAACGAGATAAAGCATCGGCGTCTTGATGTTTTCTGCCTGACTTGTAAGTTATATCAAAGTCGTACTCCTGCAAGCGTAGTATCCACCGACCCAAGCGTCCGGACAAGTTCTTCAGTGTAGAAAGCCAGCATAAGGCATGGTGGTCCGTAACGATTGTGAAGTGACGCCCGTGGAGATAGGGACGGAACTTCTGAACCGACCAAACCACAGCCAAACACTCTTGTTCAGTTATAGTGTAGTTCTTTTCAGCAGCGGTGAGTACGCGACTGGCATATGCAATAACTTTCTCTAGGGAAGACTTGTCGCGTTGTAGAAGTACGGCTCCTATACCAAGGCCGCTAGCGTCGGTATGGAGGATAGTTGGTGCGGCTTCGTCAAAGTGGCAGAGCAGAGGTTCAGACGTGAGTGCCCGCTTCAACAGGTCGAATGCTGTTTGGCATTCTTGAGACCACAGAAAGGGGACGTTGGAAGCAAGTAGTTGGTGTAATGGAGCAGCAATAGAAGCGAAGTTCTGGATAAACCGGCGAAAATAGGAGGCAAGGCCAAGAAAACTGCGAAGCTCCTTTGGTTTTTCGGGGCGCGGAAAGTGAAGGACTGCAGAAATCTTGTCAGGGTCGGGCCGGATGCCATCTTTGCTAACGACGTGTCCTAAGACCTTGATAGATTTGCTAGCGAAAGAGCATTTCTTCGTGTTTATTTGAAGCCCGGCGCCGGCAAGGCACGTCAAAACTTGATCCAATCGTTCTAGGTGCTCAGGAAACGTTGACGAAAAGATAATAATGTCGTCCAGGTAGCAAAGGCAACTTTTCCATTTCAGGCCACGCAGCACGGTATCTATCATGCGCTCAAAAGTCGCGGGTGCATTGCAGAGCCCGAAAGGCATCACGTTGAATTCATATAGCCCGTCGGGGGTTGCGAATGCCGTTTTCTCCTTATCGTCTTCATGCATGGGGATCTGCCAGTACCCAGAACGCAAGTCGATGCTTGAAAAGAATTCCGCGCCTTGTAGGGAATCAAGGGCGTCGTCAATGCGTGGCATAGGGTACACGTCCTTGCGTGTGATCTTATTGAGCGCCCGGTAGTCCACGCAAAACCGCACAGAGCCATCCTT